AAAGCGTTTGATGCGATCAGGAACTGGCAGCAGATACCTGTCCTACTTGTCCATCATAAGCAGCTATCGAAGAAGTATTAATTATAACACCACGAAATCCCGAGTCATCTTTCTTATTTTCCGCCATAACTTCCAGAGAATGTGCGACCACATTGATATTGCCAAATATATTAACCTGAAACCATTTCCTTCAAACAGCAGTAAATCTAGAACTTAAATTAGTCTATACACAACCAAACAACACCCACAACTTTACAGAACGACCCAAACGACTAACATCAAGAGTTCGCTTCACTTTATCGAGGTCGCACATGCGTCTTTTAGCAACAGAATATATTTTGAAGGCATAAGCCACTCCAGCACAATTCACGGTTGCATCAAGACGACCAAACTTCGTTTTAACAGTTTCCATAGCTTTTTTGACCTCATCCACGGAAGTAACCTAAAATGTACAGAAATAAACGAAAAATCAGCACCGTGATACAGATTTACTGCTAACTCGTTTGAAGCCGGGTTCTAGATTTCAGTTAAAAAGCAGAAAAAAGAGCGCAAGAAAGCGGATAGTCTATAAGTGAACTGAATATAGAAATAAAATGGCTGGCTTAGAATAAATGAGTAAAAAGAGAGTGCTTCGTGACATCGTCGATTCACAAAAGAGATCTGATGTGGACATGAATGAGATTTAACTATAAGACTAAGAAGACTGACCAAGTACTTCTCCCAAATTCTGTATACTTTTTTTCTTATAACTTCCACTTCTGAAATCTTTTCTAATAACTATTCTTACAGCTTTGCAAAGCACAATTTTAACTTTTCACATCACACACATTTGAAGACTACTACTAACTCCGAAGGTTCTGTCCAAAGAGTTTCGAGCTAAATCTAAAAAAGATATGCCAGCAACGAAAAAATTGCGCCATATACTCGTCGTAAGTGTTCCTCAAAACTGTAACAATGTCCAAAAAATAAAATACTTAGGCTTCTGATTCCAAATACTACTCTGACTTTTTACTTATTTTTTTCTATGCAGAAAGCAATTTTCTTCTGAACAAGTATATAATTAGCAAGAAAGTTACATCAGCGGGAGTAAAGAGACAATCCTTTCCAAGCTCATCGCAGAAAGCTCCTCCTGTTGAATTTGGCAAATCTATCACTGCGACTTTCGCTCCGTTTTCTATAAGGCGCTGTACAGTGGCTTTCCCCAGCCCTGACGCTCCACCAGTAACAACAGCGACCAAACCCTGTAACAAATTTAATTAGAAATACTGAAGTAAGACACTATAAGCTCTAGGAAATCTTGCGAAACTAAGAAATTAAATATAACCGGTAATATCTAGTAAATGCTAAAAGACTAGACAGAAAGTACCAGGATATACCAGTAGCAAGTACAACTGCATAATTATGCTGATGCCAACATTTTAGCTCAACCTCTGCGAAAAAATTAGAAAGAGTAGCTGTTCACGAAACAATATTAAATTAAAGTGACAACATACTAATACTCAATATTAGTTCAAGAAAATGTCATCTAAACAGCTCCTATAGTTCTAGCAAACAGTTATTTTCTTCGACCATTAGGCAGTGTTTAGTCCGCCAACGCTTACAGCTCAAAGGCATCAAATCTGTGTGTCGGTAATAAATTGTAACAATTTCAAGCCGAATTGGCGTCGTGTTTCCACTGCTTGAAAGCAGCGCTAATTATTTCTTTCTCACCCCAATAACACTCTTCACTAATCTGCTACGTAGACAGGTAAAAAAATGTTCATGACCTTTAAGCAGTTTAAGCAAGCTTAAATTCTCCTACTAGCAAGTTAGAAGATATCCAAACCAAAATTTAATTGTCTGTCGCCTCGTATTCTAAGCGTTTGTCAACAGTTTTGCCGGACCCAATTTAAAATGAACACGCCCATTTCCTATGTAAATGACGCACGAATAAGGAAAAAAAATCGAGAACTTTCTTCGAGCTTTTTTGTTTTACAAACATCCCAAGGTTTAGACAGTAACTGGTGTTGAGTACTCTGGT